GAGACTAAGGTCGTTAATTGGAAGAGTTTGGTCGGAGGGTTTGCTTCGATTGGTTTAAATCGGGAATTTAATTTGTTTGGAAGAGCGCGGTCATCGGACGGATTGAATTTTATTCTGATAGGGTTGTTCACTTGAATTGCCGGAGGATTAGTCGAAAATTGTGTCGGAGACGAGATTAATTGGATAATTTGGGGCGAATTTTGAATTGATATAAAAATAAATGGGTATTAGTGGTTGCATCTCACTTTTAATAACGAAAAATATTTCATTTCATGTTTTTATTTGTCATAAATCATGTTAACTTCATTTCTCAATTTTATTTTCATTTCATTTAAAACAATTCATTTCATCTCATTTTTATTTTTTTCATTTCATTTTATTTTTAAAATAAAATCATTTTTTTATTGTATTTCATTTTTAATATTGTCACCATTTCATAATGTTGTTTTCATTTTTATTTTTTTAAATAAGTTTATTTTAATTTTTAAATTAATCTTATTTCATTTTTCTAATTTATTTATTTATTTATTTGTTTTCATTTCATTTTAAAAAGACAATAATAAAAAAACATGCATCATGAATAATAATTTTCCATTTTATTTAACCAAAATCAATTTACATTTTCATTAAAAAGAATAAATAATTTTAAATTACATTTTTCGTAAAAAAATTCCTAAATGCATAATTTCCTAAGTCTTTCCGATTATCCGATTTCTTCAACTTTTTTTCGGGTTTCTGACTTTCCGAACCTGCAAAAGCAGCAAAGAAAATTTAATCGGTTAGTTTTGACACCCTCAGAGTAATATCATCATCGGGTGTCGGGAGGGTAACGGATTCCTCCGAAACCGACTCCCGATCCAATTCTCGACCAATGGCCAAAGTCGATAATTCTTGTTCTTAAGGCAATGAGAGAGAGATAAAAATATGTTCGGAAAAGTGCTTATTTGAAAAAGCTGGTTTGGAAAGAAGAATTTATTTAAAAACTGATTTTCCAGAAAAAACGGTTTTGCCCAAACAGGACCTTAACACGTTTTTCCGGAAATCACCAAGCTCCAACGGATCCGTCAACAAACGGTTTCCAGAAATTCAAGCGAACAACAACAAGCCCAGTCAAACGAAAATCAACGAGCCATATATCAAACAAATCAACGCAAGAACAGCCACCAGATTCGTACAACAAAACCACAAAATAATCCAACAAAATCTCCGGAAAAGTTTCCTTCAAGAACGCCTCAAACTGTAATGGTTCAAAAAGCCCACAGTCAAAAGGATCAAACCATATAAATCATCAAGAGTTCATAAAGAGAACCCTAAGAACCGAGAGGAAGAACAAGTGACGGCGGATCCAAAACAAAACGGGACAAGCAGTTCAGAAAGCTTGGAGCTTTCATCATCACCGTTAAGGAAAGAAGAAGACGAAACCGGTCAAAGGCTTAGATTTCCAACGAAATCATCATTGCCGGGAAAAGGGGCCGAAATCTCACTGTTAGTTCCCTCAAAACAAGAAAAGACGAGTCTTTCGCAGTGGCCGTGAGTTCATCACTACCAATGGGCAACCGACTGCCGGCCTCAGAGATCTCATCACCGGCCGGAAATCGTCGCTTCCATCATCGGCGCGAAACATCATCGTTAAGCCTCAGAGGCCTTCGCCCATCATCGGCTCTTCGCCGTGAATCAACCGCGGTAAGGGTTCACCATTTTTTTTGTTTTTCTCTTTTTTATGGTTTTTTTCAAGTAAGGTTGATCAAGAATAAAAAGAGGCGTATGGTCGAAAGAAGAAGAAGGAGAATGTATAAGAAGCAACATGCAAACGAACAAGGAACCGGAAAGCTCCGAAATGGCCTCCCATGGAAGACGAAGCCGGCGGCGCATAATGAAGAGGAAGAGAGGGTTGCAAAACCCTAAATGTGTTCAGCAGAGAAAACCCCCTCCCTTTTAATTCGGTTCTTTTTTTGATTTTATATTATTATTATCATTTTAGTAATTTAGGATTTAAGTAATTCCTGTAACTTCTTTGTAAACTAATTAATTCTTTTTTCAATAAATCTAAAATAAAGAAAAACTAACTAAAAATATTTTAGAATTAAAACTTTTTTTCATATTAAAATTAAGAATTTCTTTTTAAAACCTTTTCAACATTAAAATTAAATCATTTTTTATTAGTTACCACAAAATTTAAAATCAAATTTTTTTAATCAAAAAATCTTTAAATTAAACAATTTTCTTTAATTTAAATTTAAGCAAATTTTTCTTAAGAAACGATAAAAAGTAAGATAATTTCTCCCTTTAAATGCAAAATTAACCATTTTTTAAATAAAAATTCAAAAACAAAATTTTTGACTTAGTCGTTTCAATTTCTGTATAACCCTCGTCATCTTGTTCGTTTTCGCTAATCAATATTTCATTTGTTCATATTGCCCATTTTCAATTGTAATCGTGCGAGGCTATCATCGCAGTTATTTATCTTTGCCATTTTTGGGATTTGTAATTTACGCGAGTGATCGTCGCGATGCTTTTTACAGTTTTCTTTATTTCCCGTACTTTAATTTTGTCGTATGATAATATTTGTTCGTTTGCATGTTTTGCCGTAAATTTTCTTCTGAAGGATTAGGTCTAAACTGTTTGACCGTCGAGTCAATAGCCTTTCCTTTGACCGTTTTCAAACCCTAATAGCCTAGGCGTCCCGTCGTGGACGAAAACGCCCTTTACCCTAGCATTAGGTCAAAAAGAGTCGTCGTACTCTATTTTAGGGTTTCCCACCGTGGAATCCCTAATTTAACCCTAATTTCAATTCAATATTTTAACGTAGAAATAGGAGTTTCAAGACTCCACGTAAGCTTATCCTTAAGATATGTTTACTCCCCATGAAACCTTGACCACATTCAAGATGTTTCTAACCTCCCTTTCGAGTGGAACTACGATTACTCTGATTCAATTCCCTACCCCGGATACGTAGGCACAAGATGTGAATCTTGCCGAGTAAACATAGGACTAACCCTTAGGTCTCTTTTAAGTCACTCTATCCCTTAGCTCAATATATATCTCAAGCAAATAATAAAGCAAAAAATAGCAAAAATAAACAAAAGGTTCCTGTGGAGTACTGCAGAAGTTTAGGGTGCTAGTATCTTCCCTAAGCTTAACCAACCCCTTACCTAGGTCTCTCCCCGCATTGTGTTTACGATGCAAAAATAGGTTTTCCCTCTTTTGACCTTTTTCTTCGGATAAATCAAAGAGCGCTTGTGAATTAAGAATTGTGATTCAAACTAATTAATAGTTTGATATCCTATTTCCACCGCAACATTAAGTACAAAAACTTTGTTTTAGAAGAATTGGTCCCAATAATGACAAGTGAATTGAGTTTTCCTATGTACTTTGGACGGACATGATTAATACTGCATGCCACGTCTTAAATAGGATGGTCATCTGACTTATCCTAGAGAAGATACCCTATGAGCTACTTAAATGTATGAAACCTAATATTTTCTACTTAGGCGTTTTGGGATGCAAATGTTTTATTTTAAATAATGAAAAGGACAATCTTAGTAAATTTGATGTAAAGTCTATTGAAGAAATTTTGTTAGGGTATTCATCATCGAGTAAGGCGTATAAAGTTTACAACAACAAAACATCTATTGTTGAAGAGTCGATTCATTTGCCTTTTGATGAAACCATACTCCAAAAGTCAGGGAAAGATAATATTATGATTTTAATGTTTCGGGTTTAATAACAGAACAATTGATCAAAGACGACACGACACTCTCAAAATGGATCCTCCAAGAATAAAGGGCATTAACGAAAATAAAAAGAAAAATGAACAATAGGAAGAAAAACGAGAGACCTCAACTTAACTACATCTAAATTGTATTGTTGCAAAAGATAATCCATTAGATCAGATATTTGCCGACATCAAGAAGGGGAAAATAAACCGTAGAAAGAAAAACAAGAGACCTCAACTTAACTACCTCTAAATTGTATTGTTGCAAAAAATAATCCATTAGATCAGATATTTGTCGACATCATGAAGGGCGCTTGTACTAGATCTCATATAAACAATTTTTTGTAAGTATTCTACTTTTATTTTCCAAATTAAATCTAAAACTACATATGATGCTTTACTTGATGAAGGATGCATTCAGAAATTGGATTTTGAATTTTCCCTTTATTATCAAATATACAAGGAAATGTGTCAAATATATTGTCTCAGGGGTATATCCCAAGATTAGAATCCGGATTTCCCCATTTGTCATCACTCATACACATGAAATGAGCCAATGTGCTCCATGGGTGTATATAATATAGCTTCAAATTGTTGTATTTTAGGTGCGATTGGATTTCAATATACGGACGATGCGAAATAGTAGTTCCAGATTTTCGTAGAGTTTGAGAGTAGTGTATGAGGTGTAGTGAACAAGTCCCTGAAAATAAACGTACATGGCCCTGACAATTGGAAATCCCATTCCTAAGTTCTCTGATGTTGGTGCTCCAGCTTCAGAGTCTGTATAGAATGTCTTCAACAGCCATTTCAAGCTAATAAGAAAACTTGTGAAGAAGGATATGAGCAGAGAACGTGTTCTCCTAGAGGTCGTAGGCTGTGCTATAGATCAATTTCCTACCTTCTGTGAGGTGTAAGCATCAGCTTCAGGACAGCATTTATATAAGAGGGAGTCATCAATCTCAGTTGAACAAGTTGTTTGGCGTGGAAAAGAAGATGAAGGATATGGCTTATGACAATAAAGAGATGAAACTCAAAAAGTCTTTTAGTGATACCACGAGTAGAAGCCTAGAGAATATACTGACAAAAGGAGAAGAAGTTTGAAGATCTATGTTGAGAGATTGAATAAGAATGCCAAATCATAATTTTATATGACATTGCATCACTAATGAAAGGAAGGCTCTTAATATTTTCTTGAAAAAAATCACCAATTCATTATATACAACTTAACTATTTTCTTTCAAGTTTACATTTTATGCCTTCTACCATGCTAATTTACACAAGCTCCTTACTTCTTTTGTCTTGGTTTGAGCTTATCAACAAGCAAATCAATTGGTAGCGACCCGGGTTGAGCAGATGTAACCACTATATCATTAAGCTCATTGTCTTCGTCATCGTTGTAGTAATCATAATCATCTTCATCATCATTGCTGTCATCATAATCATCAACATCATCTAGGCCTTCTTCATTTGAATAGTTGTCATCTGCACCATCTTGAGGGTATCCAATTGAACCTTCAAAAGCATCTTCACTTGAAGAAATAAATGCTGGATGGGAGTGCTCTGTGGCATGTGAAACACCCTCAAATTCTTCTACCTTCTCCAAGAGAGCATCCGGTCCAAGATTAAATTCTTCTAGCAACAAAGCTTTGTTTGACTCAATTGCACTCTTCCACAGAGATAACATTTTTGGGCTTGAGTTGACCATGTTGCCCATATGCTTAGATTGATTGTCATTAACCATGCCTGATTAACATTGTGAAATCATAAAGATGATGTTCCTTCTGGACAAGCCTTTCAAAACAGAATGGTGCAAACAACATTTTACTGTAACACATACCTGTATTGTCCGAATTCCTTGTAATGTCAGCTTTAGCAGGAGTAAAAACTGGAACTTTTGGGTACATTGATTTCCAGTTTTTGCCCCTCCAAATCAATACTTGTTCATCATCAAAAGACAATAGCACACAAGGAACCAAATCCTGCCAAAGCAAGGAGATCAAATTGCATGCAGCATAATGCTCCTAAATAATGATTGCAACAATAGTTTAAGAAAACATACAGGATGCATAATACAATACACCGCACATGACCTGTATTATTATGTTCTAGGAAAGACTTATCATACACATTTCAATTACAAAGTCCAAAGCATATTTTGATGCAGTAATAAATTGTAACAAGTCCCTCATCCCAAGAGCTGAAATAGAAAAAAGACTGACAACAAAAGTGTGCAGTGTCTCAAGTAGATAAAAGATTAACTATTTAGTAAAATAATCATTTATTGGTAAGGATGCCTTGGAACTTATATATAGACCAAATGATCACTCTTAGCTTAGCCAGAAAGATAAAAATGTGAAAAATCAAACTGATGAATCCTCAATCATATACCTCATGTGAACTTTTATTGTGCCAAACTAATCAACTGCAGAACACCTCTAGCTGAATAAGTATTGAATAGAAAACAAACAATTTTTTCAACTCCAATGCTAAATGTACATTTTTTCTACTTCCTTTGAACATAATGTAGGTTACTTCTATACTTTGAATTAATTTTACTAACTTAGTACAAATTACAAATATCAAAATTATTTGGGTCAGGCAAAAAGGGGAAAAAGATAAAAGAAGCAATGTATAAGACGAAGAAAGCTAGTTTTCTAGTACCTTTAACTTGGCACCTATTTTCTTGTAATCACTAGGATCCAATCCTTTGCAGTTAATCTTCACCAAATGGCTTCCTTCAAAAGCATCTCTGACATCCTTTACAAGTGATGTGTATACTCCATTTTTGGCTACAACACGACAGAAGTAAATGAGATGTTAAGCCATAAAAAATGTGTAATTAGCCCTAAAGTATAATGTAAAATCAAAATTATGAAAATATTTTGTGGAATAAATATTCAAATCAATAAAGAACTGCAAAAAATAATGACACGCCCGTTGTACTTGATTTTGATCATCTTTCCTCCTGCTAAGATTTTGTACTCAATTCTTTTGCTGGTTTACTTGCATTGAGTGTTCTAGTTTCAATATTCTACTCTAATAACTATGAGATGTTCCATCTTGACAAGCCCTTACAAGTTACAAAGTCAAAAGCATCCCATATGGTCAAATCTTTTCATTGGGCAATATTTGATACTTAAGTCCAAAGACATGTAGATTTGCAATACTTAAGCAGCTATTATTTGACCCTAAGGAAACTCTAGCCTCACCTTGCGACTGCAGTTACTCTAGGCATGCTGTCAAATTTCTTCACGAGTGCTTAGAAAGAGAGATCTAAGAGTTAATAGATAGTTACCTAATTTACATATTGGCAACAGGCTTTTGCCTTTCATCCTTAATTTATCTGCTTCAGCTTTTGTTAATCCTTCTGGAGCATCTTGTATAAGTTTTGGATATACGGGAGCAGCTGGCTTCCAGAGCATCACTGGATACTGTGGACGAGTACGGTAGTTGTAATTTCTTCCACGGAAAAGATAAACTGTGCCACCAGCTCGATGAATTATTTTTCCCCCTGCTTTCTCCTGTCATGACATATAAAGATTTTACTTCAAAGCAAAAAAAGTGATCATATGCAACAATCAACTTTCAATCTTTCATCCACAGTTCATAATGAACTATTGATTTTGTCAACGTTGTGCAATGATTGATTCGAGAAAAGAAAAAAGAAAGTATAAGCAACAAAATCCATATCTGTTGGGAACTCACTCAGAAAATGAAGGCAAGTGAAATGCCACAAGACTACAACTTATTAATAAATCCATTAAAAAACAGTTTCAGCACAAACTTTCATAATTGACATAATACTATTTTCATTTCAAATAATCCATTGTGTACAATCCATACCGAGACAAGAATGATATTATGCAAGTGTTGTTATATTGGTATCGAAATGACAAGGAAGGAGACAAGATTAGAAATCAATTTCAAACCTCAATATGGCGGCAAACATTATTCATATCAACAGTAGGAACACCTTTACAACGAACTTTACAGACACGGCGACGCTTCCAATGCGAATGTATCAACTCCAACATGTTATGCGTTAATCCATCCCTTCCTAAACCATCAAACCAAACCAAACCAAACATCATTAACACAGTCCAATCCTTCACCTTTCACAATACATGTATCATTTACAATCTTGCACAAGATCTTCACTAGTTCTTTTTAGATAAAGTTCGCTTCATGACCTAAGTTGCAATATCGAGGCTGCATTGGTCCATTTGATCGGGATTCTTACAAATATCAAGGATTGCAACTATTACCGTGAGTGCTATTCAAAATTCTAACTAGTTGAACTAAACAAAACTACCATTTAAAACCCTCACTAGTTAAACAAAACAAAACTATCCTTGAAATTGAACTCACCGAGATTAACCTGGCGATTATCAGAAATCATAGGCTTAACAAGCATTTTTATCTCCCACTTCTTAAGAGGGTCCCCAAGTATCTCTTTTCTAGTCATTCCTTCTTCTGGAAACTTCCCAATGGGAAAAGGACCCGGCATTTCAACGTGCTTAACTCCTTTCGTGCCAGGAGGCGGAGGATTAAATGAATCAAAAAGCGGAATATTCTTTTTCGACTTCTTCAACGGCGCTTTCCCGGTCCACGGTCTCGGCATCGTGGGAGGCTCGAACGGTAGAAACGCCGGTTCACGAATCGCCAGGGGCTTAACTTTGGGAGTCTCGGAGTAACTGAACTGGAACTCGAATGGGGCGCCGGGGAGGAGGTAGGAGACGCCTGATTCTCCGATGATTACGGAGCGGTCGCCTTCGGAGGTGATGACGGTGTCGTGTTTGATGGGTTTGTAGTATTTGGAGTTGCGGTGGTATTTGAGGGCGGGGTTTGATGGTGGTGGTGGGGTTTGGGATTTTCGAGGTGGGGGGTATTTGGGAATGGGAATAGGCGGGCGAGGGGTGGGGGATGAGGAAGGAATGGGGTCGTGGGGAGGTAAAGAGGAGAAGAGGTTGGTCCTTCCGGGGAGGGAAGAAGATAAAGCAACTATTACCATGATGAAGAAGAAGTGAGAATTCTCAAATACGAGACTGAAATGAATGAAACAAACTACAGTGTCGTGTGTGGTGTGTGACGCTGCTTTCCTCAGTTCATCTTCTCTCCGGAGCGGATGAGCAACCTTTTTCGCCGGGATTTGAGGTTAATGGATAAATTTACTTTTCTTATTAGATAATATAGATATTCTTTTTCTATAATAAAAGATAGATAGTATAAAGGGTAATTATAACTTGTCTCTTACAAATTTTGTGACAATCTATTTATAGAATTTTTTTTTATTGAAAACAATAATTATTATGCCTTTCTATTTAAATTGTTAACAATTTTTAAGGTATTATTTTTTTATTTAGTTTTAAACGTATCCTTTAGTGGTACAAGTTAGTATTATCCTAATACAAATGGTTTTAATTTTTTTAAAATATGTAAATTATATTAAGATAAATGAATTATACTTGCCTAAAAAACACGATGAGAGATAGTTGTTAGTTGGGTAGGGATGTCTGAGATTTAAAGTTTATGGTGTGCTAAGAGTTCGCTCACACAAGAATAGTGGAGAGCTCACATATATGTTATTGGGGGAATTTTGTTGTTCTTTTTTCCTTCTTGAAGTGTGGTATATAGGGGACTCTTTGGATTTGGACCAAAGATCAAAAGGAACAGTTTCCCTTTATTTCGATCGATGGTGCGGGAGTGAGAAGACCGGATTCTTCTTGCAACCATGGGAGAAGCAGTTATTCCTCATCACTTGGTTGATTATGTGTGTGTCATATACCCTATTAGTTGAATCAATGGGAAACGTGGTTTGGTTAGGGCATTTAGGCCCAATCTTAATACAGTGATCGACTTCGAGTGCCTATAGTATTTATTCAGTTTAACGGCTTATGGCAGTTTTTGAGCGCTTGTCTGGTATTGGTGTAATTACCTTGGCTTGTATCCCTTGAACTATTCTTTCAATGGCCCATTAAAATTATCTCAGTCCACGGTCCCTCTAGCACAAGGTCTTAGAAAGGGCGAAATGATTAAATAGTATGGCTCCAGCCTATATCACAGGGCCCTGGAAAATACTTCAACTAAGTACTTGTGATGTTTCACCCAAACAAGATTAGGACGAGTCCCTCGGGTGAAGCTTGGGGTAAGTCCCTCATGTGTCACAGTTGGTGGCATGTACAACATTAAATGCTTTTAGAGATGGGGTTACCTTGGGAAGGCAACCGACTTAGGTTCCTCTACGTGTCAGAGATGTGGAGAGGTCTCACACAACCGTTGGCGTGCCTAGTGAGAGGACATCATTGCTTATTCGGCCTAGTTTATGGTTCCATGAAAGGGAACCTTCATCCCATTTTTAAAACATGTTATTACACATTTTCTTCTCAGAGCAAGCAGTTCATCTTCTCTAAACTTAAAACTCTCATATCAGCTCACTTACAGGTATACGCTTTCTTCCTTTTCTTCATCGTTTTCCTTTTTTTCATGGTGATTATTATGGGTTTAAATGAGAGTGGCAATGTGATTGAACCCAATACTGGTAGAGAATGGACCTAATTGTATTTATATTACATGAAGAACGTTGGGCAAGCTGATGGTACAGTCAAATATAAGATTTTAGAAATGGGGATGTTTGGAAGTTACGAGAGCACTTCTTATCCTAGAAGTGATAATGACTCTCTTTCTTCCTGCTTTTCCCTTGGAAATCCCAAGCAGTCAATGGCGTCCAACACTCCTAAGCACATGTGGGTCGAAGACTTTAAGACCCATTATATTTGTGAGAAAAGGGTGACCTCTTTTTCGAGGCACATCGTCCATTCTGACACGGGCGAAAATGATGACGTTATTCTATATGCTTGTTCTGAAGAATAGCAAACCAACATAATCGCCCCCTGACTCTCCTACCCTTTTCTTTTACACGTATCTCTCATTCGCCCAAGATCTAGGGGTTTAAATATCTCTTAAATTTCACCAAATGGTTGGGCCTTTATTCGGGCCTTTGAGATCATATGTCGACGATTGGATATTAACTCCACTATAAGGATTTTATTCTCTTTATATGGTACCAAAACTAGACTGAGAGGAGGTTGGGTGACTCTAGGCTCCCTAACGGGAAGGACATTGTTCAAGCCTTATTCTAACCATTGAGAAAATTTAAAGAATAAGTTGGGAGAGTGAGGGGGCGAGATGGAGCCTCCATGTTCACAAATTAAAAGGATGGCACCCCTCACTTATCTCGGTGTTGGATTCAGAACCCAATGACCATCATTGGCTTTGATTTTGATTACCTCACCATCACCAAGAGGGAAGTGGATACCTTTTTGGATGAGTTATCTATCATGAGCTCCAAGAAATTGATATAGCTAGAATTTGGTAATGCACCGACGAAAGTGGGAATCTGGTAATGCGCCGACGAAAGTGGGAATTACCACTAATTTTGTATTTTTTTATGAAAGATAAAATTCTCGTTATAATCGGTATCACAACTTGTATGAGTTAAGTCGGTGGATAAAATGATAGTATTGGGCTCTTATTTTTATTATTAATAAAATAAAATATTTTACCTTTTTTCACAAGCAAACTAATTATCACGTAGCCCTAGATAAACATAGACACGACAAAGAACGGTAACTGATCATTGGTATCTGAGGATAATAACTCTTTTCACTACTTCGATATTGTCGTATGCTTGTAATATATCAAATATTAAATCCTTCTTCAAATCCTTGAAAGCTTGACCACATTCAACACTGAAGACATATGTCATATCATGATGCAATAGTTGACATAAAGGCTTTGTGATCTTTGAAAAATATTTTGTGAACCTCCTATAGAAACCAACATGAACAAGAAATCTTCTTATTCCCTTGATGTTGGATGGTGGAGATAGCTTTTCAATTACTTCAATCTTGGGTTAATCTACCTCCAATCCTACCTTTAAACTTATGTACCCTAGGATTATTCCTTCCTTAACCATGAAATGACACTTCTCCCAATTCAGCACCAAATTGCTTTCCTCACATCTTTTTTGTACCAATTCCAGATTATCCAAAAAAAATTAAATGATTCTTCAATACTAAAAAGTCATTCACAAACACTTCCATGGAGCATTCAATAAGATTAAAGAAGATAGCCATCATGCATATTTGGAATGTTGATGGAGCATTCAATAAGATTAAAGAAGGTAGCCATCATGCATCTTTGGAATGTTGATGGAGCATTGTGTAATCCAAATGGCATCCTTATAAAGGCAAAGATTCCATAAGGATGTGTAAAACTTGTCTTCTCTTGGTCTTCAAGAGCTATTGCAACCAGATTATAGCCTGAATATCCATCAGGGAAAGGATATAATTCTTTTCTAGTCATCCTATCCAATATTTAATTATTATTGTTGTTGGTGTTGTAGTGCTTGTTATTGGTTGTTATGATTGTTGTCTATTTTTGTGCTTGTTGTTAATGTTATTGTTGTTCTGTTTGTTGTTATTGTGCTTACTGTTGATTATTTTTGTTCTTTTAACTGTTGTTGTTGTTGTGGCTTGTTGTTGTTGCCTAAAATCCACCTCGACCTTTGTTGCAGAGGCTTGCATAGGACCTAGGTCGCGGACTATGATACACCAATTTTATTTCTTTGATTGTTCTCTTAAATAATTCGTTTTAACTTTTTTGTATCTTTGTAATTTTTCATATATGGATCTTGTGTTGGAGAGGCTTGCAAGGGACCTCCGTCGCAGACTGGTATGCACCGTTGTTTTTACTTCCTTTAATGAACCATTGTTATTACTTTGATTGTTCACGTAAATAATTCATTTTAAATTTTAAGTAACCTTTTAATTTTTCATAAACGGATCTTGTATTGGAGAGGCTTGTTAGGGACCTACGTCACAGAGTGGTATGCACCATTGTTAATACTATAGTTGATGCACCATTGTTATTATTTTGATTGTTCTCTTAAATAGTTCATTTTAAATTTGATTCAATATTGTAATTTTTCATGTATAGATCATGTATTGGGGAGGCTTGTCAGAGACCTACGTCGCATACTGGTATGCACAATTGAAAAGGTCATGTTTATTCTAATCTTTAATATGATTTTTAATAGACAAATCATATATATTTATTGTTTTTGTTGTTGTTGTTTATTGTGGTTTATTTGTTATTGTAGCATTTTATTATTGTTGGTGTTGTTGGTGTTGTAGTGCTTGTTATTGATTGTTGTGATTGTTGTCTATTTTTGTGCTTGTTGTTCATGTTATTGTTGTTCTGTTTGTTGTTGTTGTGCTTACTGTTGATTATTTTTGTGCTTTTAATTATTATGGTTGTTGTGGCTTGTTGTTGTTACCTAAATTCCACCTCGACCTTTGTTGCAGAGGCTTGCATAGGACCTAGGTCGCAGACTATGATACACCAATTTTATTTCTTTGATTGTTCTCTTAAATAATTCGTTTTAACTTTTTTGTATCTTTGTAATTTTTCATATATGAATCTTGTGTTGGAGAGGCTTGCAAGAGACCTCTGTCGCAGACTGGTATGCACCGTTGTTTTTACTTCCTTTGATGAACCATTGTTATTACTTTGATTCTTCACTTAAATAATTTGTTTTAAATTTTAATTAACCTTGTAATTTTTCATAAATGAATCTTATATTGGAGAGGCTTATAGAGACCTACGTTACAGAGTGGTATACACCATTGTTAATACTTTAATTGATGCACCATTATTATTATTTTGATTGTTCTCTTAAATAATTCATTTTAACTTTGATTCAATATTGTAATTTTACATGTATAGATCCTGTATTGGAGACGCTTGTCAGAGACCTACGTCGCAGACTGGTATGCACAATTGAAAAGGTCATGTTTATTCTAATCTTTAATATGATTTTTAATAGACAAATTTTATATATTTGTTGTTTTTGTTGTTGTTGTTTGTTGTGGTTGTGTTTGTTATTGTAGCATTTTCTTGTTGTTGTTGGTTGTGTTGTAGTCCTTGTTATTGGTTGTTGTGATTGTTGTC